TGCAAGGTGGATTCAACAATATCGCCCTCTATGTTGCTTGGTAACTATGCTATTTATAGATTAATGCAAATAAAGCTGTTCTGTACATGGCCGCCATTTTTTGAATTGTTGTTGAAATGTTGTCTGCTGGTACTTTTCTTTCAAATAAACAGCAGCCTGTCTTTTTATTCATGTCATTTTTGCTATTTTATTTTTGCATCTATTTATTGTGTGGTGTGTATTATTATCTGTTGTAGTCATTTGGATCACATACTACGGTCACTCTGCCATGATTCTTGGCTGCAGCTCTGAGTAATGTAACTCCACCTACAATAAACAATACAAATATTACAGAAAGACGATACAGGTGACCTTTAACAACCCTTTTCAAGCACACCCGCCCATCCCAAGCACACCCGCCCATCCCAAGCACACCCGCCCATCCCAAGCACACCCCGCCCATCCCAAGCACACCCCGCCCATCCCAAGCACACCCCGCCCATCCCAAGCACACCCCGCCCATCCCAAGCACACCCCGCCCATCCCAAGCACACCCCGCCCATCCCAAGCACACCCGCCCATCCCAAGCACACCCGCCCATCCCAAGCACACCCGCCCATCCCAAGCACACCCGCCCATCCCAAGCACACCCGCCCATCCCATGTACACCCGCCCATCCCATGTACACCCGCCCATCCCATGTACACCCGCCCATTCCAAGTACACCCGCCCATTCCAAGTACACCCGCCCATTCCAAGCACACCCGCCCATTCCAAGCACACCCGCCCATTCCAAGCACACCCACCCATTTCAAGCACACCCACCCATTTCAAGCACACCCACCCATTTCAAGCACACCCACCCATTTCAAGCACACCCACCCATTTCAAGCACACCCACCCATTTCAAGCACACCCACCCATTTCAAGCACACCCACCCATTTCAAGCACACCCACCCATTTCAAGCACACCCACCCATTCCAAGCACACCCACCCATCTTCACCCATGTATTGACTAACA